CGGCGGGCTGAATCCACCTGTCCCAGGGCCGGGCTCCGCCGCGGCGGCGTACCTGGAGTCGGCCTCGCCGCCGAGCTCCGCCGCCAGATCAGCCATCAGCTGGTTCAGGTCGTCCTGGACGCCGAAGGCCTCATTCGCCGACGCGAAGATCTCCTCCACGAAGGCGTCGTGGAGCTCGGCTAGGTCGCGGGCGCGGGCGGCCGCAGCGCCCTGGGGGCCACCGAGCTGCGGCCCGCCGCTCCCGCCGTCGGCGGCCTCCAGCTCCGTGTCGATGCCGTCGGTCTGCGCGTGCTGGCAACCCTCGCCGAAAAGCGCCTCCTGCATGGGGGCGGCGTAGGCGATGAGGTCCGCCAGCAGCTGGTTGGCGTCGCGCGGCGCGTGGGGCACGCCGCCGCCGGGCGCGCCAGCGCCGATGGGGCCGAGGGGGGCGAAGGGAGGCGCATCCGCCCTCAGCGCGCCATCGGCCGCCGCGCGCCGCTCCAGCCGGGGCCCCCGCTGCGCAGAACGTAGCTCCGCCGCGCTGGCCGCCGCGATGTCCATGCCCTGCGCCTCGGCATGGAGGGCGACGTTGCGGCGCAGGCGCTCGAGCCAGGATGGGGTCCACCCTCCCAGCGTGGCCTGCAGCGCGGGGAGCATCGCCTGCAGCCTGTGGGCCACCTCGTCATCCCCGATGACCGCGCCCAAGGCCTGCTCCGCGGCCTCCAGACGGGCCCGAGTCCTCCCCAACTCGCCCGTCAGCCGCCGCACGGCGTTGTCGGCGGACCACGTAGCCCACTGCCGTCCCGCAGCACGCTGGGCCGCCGAACGCATTGGCGCGCACTCCGCGCCATCCCGCGCCATCCTGGGCCCCGCGCGCCCGAAAGCGGGCGGACCTGGCCTTGAGCCAAAATGGCTACGGACTACGGTTTGGGCATTGGATAAGGAACGCTTAGATCAGGAATCCAGGGTCTGGAAGCCAGTGGAGCTCTAATCGTGGATCGGTCGTGGATATCACCGCCGCCCTCATTGGATAAGGAATCCTCTAGGGTCTGGCGCCTCCTGGGAATATTCTATAACAAACGCCTCCACCGTATTGCACAACATTGATTGCATAACGTGGATTGCGCAATGTAGATTGCGCCACGTATAATGCACAACATATATTGCCACACGTAGATTGCACACAACAGGCTGCTAGAAACACAGTGTTGCGGGCCAAGTTGGCTGACGTACGGAAGTACAAAAGCGAATACATCGCCACGCGACGTGCGCGCGCTGTCCAGGCGGTCGGCAGGGACAAGCACGACATCGATCATCGCGAACGAATCACGGGGATGGGGTCAGCCGGCGCAGCAAGAATCTTGCAAAGTGCGACCTGGTTGCGTGGGTCTTGCCCCCCAAAACATGCATTGGCGATCGCATGCCCGCAACTGTAGCAGAACTCCAAGACCGTGCCCCTTTTGGGATAAGAAACCACGCGCTGGGCCTCGAGGTCAAAGGTGCGCTCACCAATGAAATCATCCTCTCCTTGCCTGCGCTGGCTCAGTCTGGGGATCAAGTCCCTCAGCAAATGCTCGTCCTAGATCGCCCGGGTCCTCCCCGAGGGTAGCATTAAAAACCGAGCCGCTCTTGAAGCGGGCGGAAGTGATGCGGACGATGCACCGCGACAAAACCCAATCGGACCAATCGCCGCTTCCATCCTCAAGCTGGCGATCCCGCCCCCGTCAGGGCGAAAACCGATCGCGGTCCTCAGGGATCCTGGGGAGACTGCGCCGCCCACTCCCGCACACTCTTTGCAGTCGGTGCTGGAACCAGGAAGGATCATCTCATGTCCAGAGCATGGAACAGAAAGCTATCATAGATGCTCCGCTGCTTCTCTTGGATTTGTGTCACATTCGTCGATATCGATGCTGGTGTACGTGATGCCCGCGACGTTCCAAATACATGCGTTGATCAATGAACTCCTCGGTGGGCGACAACGAGAATGAAGTATCCATGGGCTGCCCTGCAGACGATTTGTCCGAATCGCGCTTGGTTTCCTTCCACATGTCCGATCTCGAAGAATACTCGTTGGGCCTCTCGACCTGGGAGTGTGCGCTAGACGTCAGGGTGGCGAGCTCCAAGGACTATTGGACGCCCTCCCACTTCTCCCACTCGCCGATGCACAATCCAGTCGAAACGTGTAATCGCGGACCTCCGCCGTGAAGATGTCCTCGCCTGCCACCGTCAGCACGTGGCTCGGGGTGTCGACATCGATCTCCCTCTTGCCATAGCCCCACTGAAGCAGCATACGCTTGAACGCGACGGGTGCTGACTACGCCGCGCGGGGACACATAAGTAGGTCAAGATTCGCCCACGGCTGCCCTGAAGCTTCCAACGTGACTGACGAACGAAAGATCTGAGCGACTCCCGGTACGCAGCAGGAGGACACTTGCCAACAACCGCTTTCTGAAGTTTCCCCCCTGGAAGACTGGGCCTGAAGGTGCGGGGGTGCTTGTGTCCTCTCACCGCTTGCGTATCCAGCCTTGGCCTTGTCGAAGGTGTCGGCGTTTGGCAGGTGTGGCGGGTGAGGTCAAATGTCGGTGCGAAGTACGGTCTTACACCCCACAAGAGCACATCTTAGGCCTCACCAGAAACGGCGGCGAGAAAACGATCGTAATGTGGACGGAAGACCACGAACTTGTATGCGAGAAAGCGCTTGGCAAGCTGGCACCGCCGCCTAGTGGCAGCAGCGTGAACGTCGCTCAACACCCCGGGTCTGACGTCCCACGCTGCGCGGATCCACCCATTCAGCAGCAGGGCTGACCGCTCAGGCTCGGGGAGCTCTGGGGCGAGCTCTGGCAGACGCAGGCCGCGACTGTGTCTGACTGCTTCGGTGGCAGGGCACTGCCAGAGGATGTGTCTCGTGGTGGCCCTGGTGCGGCACGCGGCGCAGTCCTGGACCACAGCGTCGTCGTTTGGGACGTTGCCGATGACCACGGTGAGGTTTGCGCCCTGCACCTGTTGCGCTGCGGTGCTGGTGTTGGCCTGGATATGTTCCAGGTTCCCCCTTGAGCTTGGCAAGCTCGTTCTGGAAAGATTATTACCTCTTCTCCACTCCTGTCATGCGTGCTCCCATGTCGCCAAGCTCATTACGTACTGTCTAAAACAGACAAGTCCCCCAACAGCCGATCGACGGACATCTTCACCAGCTTCAGCTCTGCATGCAACAACTTCTGGATGTTCCCCGTGGTCACCTTGCCTGGGTCCTCCTCTTCCGCCAGCCCATCGTCAATGAGTACATCGTCAGGCCGACCGGTCTTGGGCAGCGGCTAAAACACAGAAGAGGACATGGTGCGTACGCGATTGAGCCCAGAGCAACGCGAGAGAGACGGGGTAAAGAACAGAGGGATCGGAGGAAGGTGCACAGTACCGCGTGTGCCTCGAGGCTCTGCCTTGAGACCCTTTCCTTGAGCCAGAATGTCTCTCTCTTGAGGCCCAAGAGGGCCCCAGGACGGCCCAAGATGGCTAAAAGGCGGGCCAAGAGACCCCCAAGACGGCTTAAGATGGCCTTGAGAGGGGTCCAAGAGGGGGAACTCGAACTGACACTTCGAGACCCCCGCCCCAAAAGACCCCGAGACCACCAGGTCCCTTCGAGGCCCCCGAGAAACCCCAGAAGGTCCCCAAGAGGCCCAAATCAAGCCCCAAGAAACCCCCAAGAGGACCCCGGAAAGCTTCAAAGACACCCCAGAACCTCGAGAGGCCTCCCACGAGATGTCTGCCGGTGTCCGCAGGCATCCAAGAGGCCTCTAGCCCCAAGATGGCCTCCAAGACGGCGACAATGGTCCCCAAGAAGACTACGATGGCCCCAAGAGAGCCCAAGATGGCCCTCAAGATCGCCCAATAGGCCTCCAAGAAGGCCCAAGAGGCCTCCAAGATAACCTCCACGAAGTCCCGAACATGCCAACATCCATAATTGTTCGTAGGTGTTTGACAGATCCTGGCGTTTGCTCATTTTCACCTTTCCGACTGTCAAAGACGGCCCCAGAGGTCACCAAGATGGCCCAAAGAGCGCTGAAGGGGCCTCCGAGATGGCCCCTGACGGCACGAGAGGCCCTTAAGACGGCCCCAAGAGAGCTCCAATCTTGCCCAGGAAACCTCCAAGATGCCCAAGATGGCCTCCAAGACGGCCCCGAAGCGCCCCAAGAGGGCCCAAGTCGACCCAAAGAGGCCCTCAAGATGGCGTCCGACAGCGTCGGTCGGGCCAGGAACGCCCTCAGACGACCAAAGAGCCGCCCACGGAGTATTCAAAGGCCCCCAAGAGGACCAAGGAAGCTCCCAAGAGGCTTCCCAGAGACCCCCAGGAAGCTCCCAGGAGGCCCCAAGAGGCTTCCAAGAGGCCTCTTCCTCCTCCTCCTCCTCCTCCTCCTCATCATCCACCTCCTCCGCTTCCTCCTCCTCTTCATGTTTCCTCCTTCTCCTCCGCTTCACATTTCTCCCCCACGTGGGGGAGCACTTAGTCCGATAGCTGAGCCTTGAACGGGAAGGCGTCTTGTAACATCAGATTCTTGCAGCCCAGCATCCGTTCCCCCCCCCTGCTCCCCCCTCAATCCCTACCCTCTCCTCTCCCTCCCCCCTCTTCCTCCCTTGTCCGTCTTCTCCCCTCTCATGCCTCCACTCCCCCCTCCGTCCTCGCCCCCTCATCCACGTCCCACTCTCGTTCCCCCGCCTCCTCCAAAGAATACCCTCGAAACTCCACGCTGGAAGTCTCCCACCCTGGAACCCCTCACAACCTTCCCATGACCCTCTGCTCCCCCATCTCGCCCTCGTCCCTCCTCCTCCTCCTCCTTCCTCCTCCTCCTCCTCCTGACGTTGTCCTTGTTATCCTCCTCCTCCTCCTCCTCCTCCTCCTCCTCCTCCTCCTCCTCCGCATCCTCTTTCTCCTCCTCCTCCTCCTCCTCCTCGTTCGTTTCCTCCTTCATCCTCTCCCTTCTGCTTCCTCCGCCTCATCCCCCCCTCCCTCCCCTCCACCGGCCCCCCGCCTCGAGAAGCACGCCCCCGTCAGTGCCGCGAACGCGCCGACGAGCACGGGCACCCCGAGCCAGAAGCCCGACGGCGGGCGGCCCCTCGAAGCCTGCCGCCGCGCGCACGCCAAGGGGAGGAGCGGGGGCGCGCCTCCCACCTCGTTCCTCAGTTCTCCTCCTCCTCCTCCTCCTCCTCCTCCTCCTCACTCCTCCCTCCTTCTCTCCTTCCCTGCTCCTCCTCCTCCTCCTCCTCCTCCTCTTCCTCCTCCCACTTCTCCTCCAAGATCTTATCCCTACCGCGTTTTCCGCATCCTTCCCCCCCCCCCCTCCTTCCCTCATGCCCCCCCTTCTTCCCTTCTCCTTCGCTCACTCCCTGACTCCCTCCTTCGCTTCATCCCTCGCTCTTCCCTGCTGCATCCCTCACTGGTCGCTCCTCCACTCTTTTTCCTTAAAAAAAAACTTCTCCCTGTCTCACCCCGAGGCTGGTTGAAAGGGCGGGACAGGCGTTTCGCCTGCGACTTCCTTACCATTGATGATCCAATGTGCAACGGTTTCGCGGATGGAGGGCGAACGGACTTCAAAATGTGGTCTCGCCTTGGAGCCGCGCACATCCGTTTTAAGTATTTGCAAGAGCTTCACGGCTTGAGGGCGGTCGTCTGCAAAATGTGGTTATCGCATTAGCGCCGTGTGCACTCGCTGTAAACAGTTGCAAGAGCCTCGCAGATTAGGGTGGATCGGCTTCAAAATGTGATAATTTCCCTGGCGCACCGCACATGCGTTTAACCATGTACAGCAGTTCCATGAGTTGAGGGCGGTTCTTTTTTAAACTGTGGCTCTCGACTTATCGCCGCGCACATTTATTTGTTAAAGTGATCTGTGCAACATGTTCACGGATTCCAATGGTTAGCGTACAAGAATTTCTGTTGTGGAACGACTTAGGGTTGTCAGGGCGCAAGACTTATTTTGATCCGCGGCGCTTGAATCCCAGAAATGGCGTCCTGGCGCCATTTCAGATCGTCAAGACGCAACAGTCAGGTTGATTCGTGGCGTCGAATTTCCGGAGTAAGCCCGGATGCAGGCCCTGAAAGCCTGCAAGACCCCCCCAAACCTGGACACAAGCCCGAATCCTGCAGTGCAGCAAGCCCAAACTGCACGGGCGCGGAAACATGTAAGCTTGCAAGCAAGGGTGTCGTTTCCTCGGTTTTCCGTGTCCTGGTTTATCTGTGTCCTGGTCACCGGGGGCCTGAGGCAGACACTCGCTGGGAACTCCGGAGCGGGATGGCGCGTGGGCGCATCGGGCTCGCCAGCCGCGGGCTCACGACGAGAACCCCACTTTTGATGCTACGCCCCGGTCGCGGGGAACGCGCGACCCAGGGTTAGCTGCTCCTGCCGCGGGTCGAGGTTCTGCCAATTGTTACTGGGAGTCTCCTAATAATCGCGATGACCAGTGCGGCGCCGGCGTTGGTGGCGACGGGCCTGGCTGTCCCAGGTCGACAAATCAAATGGACCAGAGCGCGCGGCGGGGCAAAGTGCGCGCGGCCCACTTACGTCGACGTCGTCGCCGTCGCTGGCAGCCCTTGACCAGGTGATCGTCGGAGTCGCGTCGTCATCGGCGCGAGAATCGACGTCATCGACCTGGCTGGGCTTCCTGCTGGCGGCCTCGCCGCCAGTGCCGGGCGCGGCAGAGAAGCCCGAAAGTCTCATCGCTGGAGGCTCGAGGCCACGCCAGCCGCTGTCGCCGGCGGCGGCGGCCAGGGATGCGTGCGCTCCCGCACCGAAGCACCGCCAGAGCGGATCGCCGCCCCCCGAGGATGCCTGGCGATCGCCCCAACATGTGTCCAAGTCGGCGTAGTCGTCGGCACGTGTGTGCAAATTGTTGGGCATTCGTGGGGGAGTCCATGATGTGGCACTGCAGGACCATCACCAACTGGCCGTCGGCGGCGCCGCGCGTGTGTGCCAGCAGGTAGCGGAGACCCCCGTCGCCGATCATCAACACACCTGCCTGCTACGCACAAGCGTTTAGTCGTTAGTCATATGTTCATAGAAAGCGTCGTCAGTTAAGCTACGGTTGAAGTCCTCCACTCCTCATCTATAGGCTGCCCACCTTTCAGCCAAGGGCGCGTGGGGAAAGTCCTGAGCCCGACCACCACTCCGTCGACACACTCACGCGCCGTACGCCATACCTGGCAGCCGTCAACATAGGCGAACCCAGCCAGACGACCTCGCCGTCAGGGCCAGGCTTGGCGCTGGTGGCGGGTTGCACCAGCAGCCTGGCCACTGGCTGAGCCACTCCACCGCCCCAGCGACACCGTCGCCAGTGGCGGCGAGAGCGGCAACAACCCGATGATCTGGGCATCTGGAGCACCGGACCACAGGCCACGCAAGCCCGTCGCCTTTGCCGGCACAGGCTGCTGTGGCCCGGCGGCCTCGCCGCGGTGCCACCGCCACCACCCCCTGGCCGACCTTAGACTCTGCGGGTCTGCGACCTAGAGCGGGCGGCCGAAGGCCAGCTCGCCGGTTTCGCCGCCAGTGCCTTTATTATCGACGTTGGTGTCGTTGATGTTGTGGTATTGCTGTGGGTATCGGGGGCCGTGGTAATACTGAACTTGTATCATTTAGCTGACTGTGGTACGGACGCTCAAAAAAGCGTTGCTGTCCTTGAACTCCTCCCAATCCGTCCCGGAACTGTAACATGCTTCCACCTGCATCGGGCAAACGAAGATCACGGGTAAATCACCGTAATCACAAGCTTGGTGCGCGCTAAAAGGCCAAACGGCAACGGACACCATTCGAGTCGGAATGGGGCGAGGGAGAGGGAGTGGAGGAGGGGGATGGGGTTTGGGGAGAGAAAGAGAGAAAGAAAGGGAGAGAGAGAGAGAGGAGGGAAGGAAGCACAGCGCCATGAGACAGAGGAGGGCAGGAGGAGGAGGAGGAACCCCTTGAAGGCAATCTTCCTTTGCTCAGCACTTGTAGCAACCTTAGGCGCTGAACATTGCAAAATGCATGACCCCTGTTTTCTGCACTCTTACATACCAGACGTGTCACGTCTGGTACACTTTCTTTCAATGGCTCGCTCCTCGTCGGGACACAGGAGCGGGTTCGGCGGTTCTCATACAATTTTCTGCGGTTCTCAAAGGTTCCCGGAAGTGTCCCCAGGGGGGGAGGAGGAGGTGCAGGAGGAGGACGACGACGACTACGAGCAGAACGACGGCTGGCCCCTCCTCCTCCTCCTCCTCCTCCTCCTCCTCCTCCTCCTCCTCTCCCTCCACCTTGAGGGAGATCAGAGGTAACAACTCCGGCCTCAAACGGCTGTTCGGGACGATTCCCAGGCTTCCCACAAGACTCCTCGAAGAGTAGCAGGCGATGAAAAAGCCCCCTGGGCCCAGAGGACGTGGACCTCCAGGAAGCTAAAGAGAAAGTCGACAGCTTCTTCCCTCTACGCGTCATCCCTCCCTCCCTCCCTCCTTCCCCCTTTCGCTCCCTCCTGCTCCTCCTTCTCCTCTTCCTCCTCCTCCTCTTCCTCCTCCATCCAAGACCTCCGACGACTCGCTTAATCAGAAATGACGGCCACTGGACCAATCGAGCCCCACTTCCCGGGACCAGCTGTTCACCTTGATTCGTGTTTGCGATCGGGGCCGCGGACGCAGACGATGGCGACAAACCAGACGCCCGCATTTGTTCAAGTCTCCACGCGTCTGCGGTCTCCAAAAGGCTCTGGAGTCCGTCCTGAGAGGACTCCAGAGGCCCCACTCAAGGCTACAATGTCTTTACCATCAATCTGTATGTGTACATGTATACATCTATATAGATATACATACCGTAGCCCCCCGCAGATGCGGATCAGAGTGATGGGGGCGGTGGGGACGTCGGCAGTTTGCGAGACTCTGGAGAAGCCAGCCGCAGGCGCCAAAGTTTCACAAATTGTGCAACGAGCCCGCCGCAGGCGCCAATTTTTCTCGTTACACCAATGTGGGTAGGTCGCGGGTGGGTCGCAAATTGGTCACGGGTGGGTCGCGGGTGTAGAATGCAGAAAATCCACCCCATAAGAATCACCCCGACAAGCGAAGCCTTCTAGCAAACGCACACAAGGAATGAATCGAACAGGGCAACGCTGTTTAGTCAACGCCCAGGGCCGCTTAGCAAGCGTCAATTGTCGGGTCCGGGTGGTTTTTCCTCCGTTACGGGTGGGTCGTGGGGTGGGTCGCGGGATGGAACGCGGGGTGGATCGCGGGTGGGTCGCGGGTGGGGGTCGCGGGTGGGTCGCGGGGTGGGTCGCGGGTGGGTCGCGGGGTGCGTCGCGGGTGGGTCGCGGGTGGGTCGCGGGCGGGTCGCGGGGTGGGTCGCGGGTGGGTCGTGGGGTGCGTCGCGGGTTGGGTCGCGGGTGGGTCGCGGGGTGGGTCGCGGGGTGGGTCGCGGCGTGGGTCGCCAGTGGGTCGCGGGTGGGACGACGACATCAAACAACAATTACAACAACAACAACAAGCATAATTCTCGCCACGAATTCCTTATTCAGCCACGCACCCAAGGACAATTCATGACCGTTCGGCCCCCTCACTCTGATCTACAGAAATGTGTATATACAGATCTCTGCACGCACCATGAACCCCCTGTTCTATTTGGAAGATGGCAGGGAGGAAAGGGGTGGTTCAGGTGCATGCGCCGGCCGCGGGGGCGAGGTTTCGGAGTTGGTTGGTTCGTGCGTTGGAGACGAAGGGTGTTAAGTACTGGGTGCTTTGGTTTAGACGGAGGGCGTTGCACAGAAGGTTGTGCTTCAAGTTCTACTTGGGGAGGGAGCCTGTTGGAAGGCTGGTTCGTACAGGGTGTTGTGTTGTAGACGGAGGGTGTAGAATAGAAGGTTGCTATCAAGTTCACCTGGGGAACGGAGCCTATTGAGTATTGGGTGATGTGTTGGAGACGGAGGCTGTTGAGTATTGGACCATCTTGGCGGTCTTGGAGGCATCTTGGGACTGTCTTGGAGTCCATATTGTGGCTATTTGCTCTCTTCGGGCCATCTTGGCCATCTTGGACCCACTTGGGAGACCATCTTGGGCCATAGTGGCCGCCCGGGAGGCGTCTTGGGGCAATCTTGGGACCATCTTAGCCGTCTTGAAAGGAGCTTTCGTGGACCTTGAGGTCCTTTATGGTCTCTCCGTATCTGTTGAAGCCCTCTTGGTGCCGTCTGGGGGCCCTGTTGGGCCATCAAGGGGCCATCTTGGAGGCCTCCTCGGCGATCTTGGGGCGATCTTGGAGGCCTCTTGGGCCGTCTTGGGCCGTCGGAAGGCCCAACAGAAACACATCCCAAAATCTGTCAAAAACCCTAGGATAACCAATGATTTTGGCCTCTCCAGGCTCTCCTGGAGAATGTCTTGGGGGCCTCCTGAACCATCTTGGAGGCATCTTGGGGCCATATTGGCCGTCTTGGAGGAAAGGTTGACCGTCTTGGAGGCGTCTTAGAGGAGGCCATTGGGCCATTGAGGGTCATCTTGGCCGTCTTGGGGATCATCTCGAGCCATCTTGGAGCCGTCTTGGGGCCGTCTTGGGGGACTCTTCGGCCATCATGGGGCTATCTTGGAGGCCTCCTGGGCGATCTTGAGGCGATCTTGGCGGCCTCTTGGGCCGTCTAGGGCTGTCGGAAGGCCCACCAGAAACACATCCCAAAATCTGTCAAACACCGAAGGATGACAAATGATTTTGGCCTCTTCGGGCTCTCCTGGAGGACGTGTTGGAGGCCTCTTAGGCCATCTTGGAAGCATCTTGGGTCCATCTTGGCCGTCTTGGAGGGCATCTTGGGCCGTCTTGAGGCATCTTGGAACCATCTTACCCGTCTTGGAGGCCATCTTGGCCGTCTTGGGCGCATCTTGGAGGCCATCTTGGGCAACCTTGGCCGTCTTGGAGGCGACAGGGGGAACCACCCGTGCATTTTGGGAACCTTCCAGAACCCCGGCGGGACGGGCCGAAGCCCCAGGGAGTTTTCTAAAAGAACCCAAATCGACAGGGTCTAGCACGCGGGGCACCCCTGTGGCAAGCCAACAGGGGGCGGCGGATCGAAGACGCCTGCGGCGAATCGCCGCCGCCCCCTGCTTTTTTGGAAGCGCCTATGTGGCCGAACGTTGAGGCCAAACCTGCCAAGCTATCGGACCATGTGTTCCCCGAATCGGTTTGGAAAGCCTTCGGGGAACACGTGGGCATCTTGAAGGTCATCTTGGCCGTCTGGAGGCCAGTTTGACCCTTTCGGGCCTTCTTGGGAGACCTCTTGGGCCGTCTTGGGGGCCTCTTGGGGCCATGTCTTGGGCCTCTTGGGCGATCTTTGGGGGCACTTGGGCCGTCTCGGGCCGTCGGGAAAACAAATGCCACAATCCTTCAAAAACCCATTGGAAATCAATGATTTTGGCATTTTCGGCCCTTCCTGGAGGCCCTCTTGGAGGCCTCTTGGGCCGTCTTGGGCCATCTCAGGGCCATGTTCGGCCGTCTTGGTGGGCTCCTGGTCCGTCTGACGCCGTCGGAAACCGTTTGGGGGGCCTCTATGGGCCGACTTGGGGCCCTCTTGGAATGCTCCAGGGCCGTCTTGGAGGCCATCTTGGGCGTCTTAAAGGCCTCCTGTGCCGTCTTGGGGGCCTCTTGGGGCCGTCTTGGGGCCCTCTTAGGCCGTTCTGGGGCCATCTTGGAGTCCTCTTAGGCGATCTTTCGGCAATCTTTGGGGGCTCTTGGGCCGTCTCGGGCCGTCGGAAGGCCGAAAAGAAGCAAATGCCAAAATCCGTTAAAAACCTTAGGACAATCAATGTTTTGGACTCTTCTGGCCTTCCTGGAGGCCCTCTTGGGGGCCTCTTGGGCCGTCTTGGACCAGCTTCGAGCCAACTTCGGCCATCTTGGTGGGTTCCTGGCACGTCTGACGCCGTCGGGAGCCGTCTTGGGGGGCCCTTCTGGGCCGACTTGGGGCCCTCTTGGGGCGCTTCGGGGCCGTCTTGGAGGCCATCTTGGGCGTCTTGGAGGCCATCTTGGGCGTGTTGGAAGCCTCTTGGGCCGTCTTGGGGCCCTCTTGGGGCCGTCGTGGAGGCCACATGGGCCGTCATGGGGCCCTATTGGGGGCCTCTTGGGCGATCTTTGGGGCCTCTTGGGCCGTCTTGAGCCGTCCGAATGCCGAGAAGAAGCCAATTCCAACGTCCTTATGAATCTACGGAAAATCAATGATGTTTGCCTCTTCGGGCCCTCCTGGAGGACCCCTTGGCGACCTCTTGGGCCGTCTTGGAAGCCTCTGGGGGGGCTCTTGGGCCGTCTTGGGCCGTCTTGGACTCTCTTGGGCCGTCTTGGAGGCCGTCTTGGACCACCTTGGGCGGACTTGGAGGCCATCTTGGACCATCTTGGAGGCCATCTTGGGCCAACGTGACCATCTTGGAGGCCATCTTGAGCCGTCTTGGAGGATTTTTGTTCTGGATTGAGAGCCTTTCCGGGTGGCCCGCGGAACGGGCCGAAGCCTCAGGGGGGGTTCTATTGGAAAACAAGCCAAAACCAAAAGCCATATCATTCGGCACGCCAGGCACCCCTGTGGCAAGCCAACAGGGGGCGGCGGACCATCCAGTGGCCTTCGGCTCATCCCGCCACCGTGGCTGGGTTGTGGGTTAGAGGCCACTTGGAAGTTCGTTTGGAATTCGTGGGAGGCGGACGCCGTTTGGGGTGCTCCTGGGGCCTTTTTTGGGGCCTCGTTGGGGCCTCGTGGGGCCTCCAGGGGGCCTGTAGGGACCTCTTGGGCTCTCTTGGAGGCCTCTTGGGGCCTCCTGGGGTCCTCTTAGGGCGGAAGGCTCGAATTGTCAGTTCGTGTTCCCCCTCTTGGGCCCCTCTAGGGGCCGTCTTGGGGCCCTCTTGGGCGATCTTGGGCGCCTCTTGGGCCGTCTTGGGACGCTCTTGGGCCGTCTTGGGACTCGCTTGCGCCGTCGTGGCGCCCTCTTTGGGTGCCTCTTGGGCCGTCTTTGGCTAATTTCTGGGGCCTCGTGGGCTGTCTTGGACCGTCAAACGAAAAACCTTCAAAAACCATCGAAAACAGCCTACTTGTTTCGCCTGTTGAGGTCCTCGTTGGAGTGAGTCCTTTTGAAAGCATCTTGGCCGTCTTGAGGCCCTCTTGGGCTGTCTTCAAGCCATGTTGGGCAAATTTTAAAACGCTCGTGTGCGGTCTTGGGCTCTCTTGGAGCGCTCCTGGGCCATCTTGGCGCCCTCTCGGACGCATCTCGGACCCTGTCGTCGCCCCCCTTCCCTCCTCTGACGCGTTCTGGCGCCCGCCCGCCAGGTCTAAAACGACCAGGAGAGAAATCAGTGCACTCCGGGCCCCCAGGACCCCCTCCCCATATATATATATATACATATATATACACACATATATATATATATACATACATACATACATACATACATACATACATACATAATATATATATACTATGCACATGTATACATAGATATATACACACACGCTACCGTGCCGTGAGGCATGAGTTGGACAGTCCTCAGGTCACTTCGAGTCCTCAGTATTGAGATCTATCAATGCGATGCTTCTTAAGAAGGGCCCACAGCCGAAGAGTTCCGGGTGCTCCCGGGCGCCTGTGGGCGCCCTCGCGGGGTCGTGGGGGGTCCCCGCGCGACCTTCCGAGGGGCCACGAGCGCGTTGTTCGGGACGTGCACATTCAACATGGCTTCAGATGTTCCCGGGGGCCGTCCTGGAGCCTCTTGGGCGCCTCCTGGGCCGTCCTGGAAGTCCCTGAAGGGCGGCCCCGGGCCAAAATCGTCAAGATCCATTGGTGCTCGTAGGGTTTTCGCATGACCGCCTTTTCAGTCTTCAAAGCGTCCAAGACGGCCCAATAGGCGCCCAAGATCGCCCCCAAACGGCCCAGGAGCCCCGAAGAGGGGCCCAAGAGGCACCCGAGACGGCCCCAAGAGGGGCCCAAGATGGGGAACACGAACTGACATTTTGAGCCCTCCGCCCTAAGATGGCCCCAAGATCCCGCCAGAAAACCACAAGGTGCGCTCAAGAGACCCCGAGAGGCCCCCAAGAGGCCCAAATCAGGCCCCCAGGCAGGAGGCCCCCAAGACGCGCCAAGACACCCCTAAAACCACATCCAAAAGGTATCCCAGAGGCCGCCCAAGATCCTCACACGCATCCAGGAGGCCTCTGACCCACAACCCAGGCACGGTGGCGGGATGGCCCGAAGAGCCACTCGAAGGCCACCATATATATATATATATATATATATATGTATATATGTATGTATGTATGTATGTATGTATGTATGTATGTATGTATGTATGTATGTATGTATGTATGTATGTATATTTATATACGTTCATATATATGTATGTATGTATGTATGTATGTATGTATATATATATATATATGAACGTATACAACGAGACAGAGAGAGAGAGAGAGAGACAAAAAGAGAGAGCGAGAGAGAGAGAGAGACAGAGCACCCACACGCTTATACATGTACATCTCTTTACACATGTACGAACCGATGTGTATATATGTATGCGTGTACACATACATACATACATAGATACACGACTGGTGCTGACATGCGAAAAAAAGCCTTGTACCCTCAACACCCTTTCTGCCTCGCCCTCCTCATCCTCCTCACCCTGCCTCGCCCCTCATCCTCACTCTCTCCCCTCCGCCCCCCTCCCCCCGCCCCTCCCCCTCCTCCCTCCTCCTCACCTCCACGCGCTCCCTCCGTCCTCCGCCCCCCTCCCTGCTCGACGTGTCCAGCGCACGAAGCGCCCGCGCGCCTGCCAGGCCTGGGCGCTCGGGCTCTCGTCGGCGCCGGCGCCGCTGGCCCGGGTGCCGGCGCCAGCGGCCGCCAGGGCGCCTCGGCGGAGAGGGGCGGCCGCGGGCCTCTTCGTTGTAGGCCCCGCGCCGAGGGCGTGGAGGATCGATAGTGAGCGTTCTCGTATTCGGCGTTGCGGCACTGGGCGGAAGGGGGGGAGGGAAAGGGGGGGGGAGGGCCACGCGCCGAGAGCGTGGAGGATCGATAGTGAGCGTTCTCGTATTCGGCGTTTGGGCACTGGGCGGAAGGGGGGGAGGGAAAGGGGGGGTTGCCTGGCTCCGGACCTCTGCTTAGTGCGACCGTTTGCACCAGTGCGCCCCATGGGGGAGCCTCCACCTGCTCGAAACAGGCGCCCAAAACAGCCAAGATCTACTCCACGGGGGGGCGGGGGGGGTGGGGGATGCGAGGGCCCGCGCCGATCGGCACAACGATGAATAAGAAAACGATCACATGGAGGAGGGTGGGGGATGGGAGGTTTGTGGGCATTGTTCGCCCTCTTCGGCAAACTGGAGGCCTCTGGAGATCTTCGGAGGCCTGCGAAGGCATCCGCAGATCCCTGGAGACCCCAGGGACCTCCAGGATACGTAAGAGGGGGGAGAACTTGGAAACTTGTGCTCACGTGGCGGAGTTCGAGAACCCTGAACCCAAAAACGTTTTCATCTCTTGGGGGCGAACATGTTATTTCCGCCGCCTTCCTTCCACCGCGGAAGAGATGACAACTCCTTCGATCCTTGAGGGCAAAGCCCTTTCTGGAGCGCCCCATGTGACTGGGCCTCCTGAGAGCCCTCGTGGCCGTGGCCGGGCACAGCTCGGAGAGCTGGTGAGGACAGCCCTGGGACAGACTTTGAGCGGAAATGGGAGGACAGGTGCCTCCAGACCGGCGAAAAAAGAACGATGGCGAGGTTTCCAGGCGTAGTGGCCTCCCAGATGGGGTGGGAGCAGATGGTGTCAGGGGGTCGCGCCGCATCGCCGATGCATCGACGACGCATCGGCGACGCATCGGCGACGTAGGCGCCAGTGCGCACTGGCGCCGTCGGCGTGGAGAAAATCGGGCTCCACTTCGAGCCGCATCGCCGATGCATCGGCGATGCGGCGCGATCCTCTGACCCCATCTTCTCGGACCTCATCTGGGAGGCATAGCAATCTGTGGGGTCTCTGGAGATCCGTGCTGGGCCCAGGGACAATCAGCCACTGCCCCAGAACTGAGGCCCAGCACCGGGGATGGGGTCCTGAAAGGTCTGGGACCCACGCCGCGAAAATACTAGGACGGCGGATGCACTGGACCGCATCACATGCAACTGAAATCAATGATGGTGAGCGTTTTCTTATTCGGCGTTTCGACATTGGGCGGAAGGGGGCGGGAGGGGGAGGGGGGGTGTCCGCTCCGGACCTCTGCTTAGTGCGACTGTTTGCAGCAGTGCGTCCTATGACGGAGGCTCCATCTGCTCGAAACAGGCGCCCCAAACAGCCAAGATCTACTCCATAGGGGGGAGGGGGGGTGCGGGGGCCCGCGCCGATCGGCAAACAATGAATAAGAAAACGATCACTTGGCTTGTTGTTTTGTTTAAACCGTTATTCGCGTTCTCGCTTTTTCGGGCTTCCGACCGCCCAAGACGGTCCACAAGGTCCCCAGGTGCACTTCAAAACACCCCGAGAGGGCCCCAAGAAGGCCCCAAAACAGCCCAAAGAAGGCCCCAAGACGGCCCAAGAAGCCCTCCAAGAAAGCCAAGGTGCTCCCAGGAGGTCCCCGAGGAGAGCCCGAACAATGATGAAGAGCCATTCCGCGAAAGATAGCTCCCGAGACCATCAGCAGACCCCCCAAAGACCCCAAGAACGCCCTCTGAGGCCCCAGCGCGTTGTCAAGAGGCCCTGAGAGACCTCATAATTTGAGCGTCGTTTATCCGACCCCCATCCCCAGCGGCGTGGCCTGGGCCCCACTGGCCGATTTACCCCCCTAGATGGGGATATTAGCCGTTCCCTTCGGGATTCGAGGGGCGTGTCCCCAACTGGGGTGGTAATTTGGTGGGGGTCTCGAATGGGATGAGGATGGGGATGGGGGTCGGTTAAACGATAATGATGAATACTTCTACCAAGCCTCCCGAGAGAACCCCCGCCCAGCGAGCCTCTACGAGTGCAGGCCCTTCCTGGGACCTTCTTCTGGATTCTGGATCCCCTTCACGGTCGGCGGAAGCGGCCGTAAGGCCTCTCCGATAAGTAGGGTGACGTCCAATGTACTGGTCCGTGCTAAACGCCCTTGCGGTGAACAGTGCTCCTTATAGTCCTTCTACTCCTTTTCGTGCCTCCCTTTCTGTTCCTCCTCCTCCTCCTCTTCCACCTCCTCCTCCTCCTTACCTCCACCACCTCCTCCTCCTCCTCCTCCACTTCCTCTTCCTCTTCCACCTCCTTCTTTTTTCGTGCCTCTCCTTCTCCCCGCCTTCCATTCCGCCCGTCGCCCTTGTAAATAACTCCTCCTCCTCCTCCTCCTCCTCCTCCTCCTCCTCCTCCTCCTCCTCCTCCTCCTCCTCCTCCTCCCCCGCCTCATCCTCCTCCTTTTCCTCGTCTTCTTCCTCCTCCTCCTCCTCTTCCTCCTCTTCCCCGCACCACTAGACGCGCGGGTCGGGCGAACCAAGCATTTCTGCAGAGATTTTCTGGGTTCCAAGAAAAACGGCCCTGCAGTTTGGCAGCGACATCCGTGACACGGACTGAAGGCGGCCAATGTTCACAATGCCGCGCACGCGGGCAGTAGCCGGCCCGTTGTAAAATGCAGAATTCGCCCCAGCGCCGCGCACACCAGCCTTTGCACAACGCCCATCGGCTGCGCGGATGACGGGCGAATTCTTTTCAAACTTATGGTTTCAATTTCAGCCCTCCCCAGGAGAGCAGAAACGGGAGGACAAGGGAACAAACGCAACACCGAACACACCAGGCGACGGTCGTTCCTGTGAGGTCGGCGCTGACCACTAAAACACCGTCTCGTACTGGCAGAACGTCCAGCCGGCCAGACTCGCGGCCCGCTGGAAGGGATGATGTTAATAATGAAAATGAGGATGACGATGCTGATTGTGATGTTTGTTCGCTTGTTTGTTTACCTATATGAATGAGCAAATGCCCCAGCGGCCCCAACAGTCGGAGCGATCTGCCAGGTTGCCATCACTCCAGTAGCACCGAACGCCCAACGTGTGATGCAGCCGCTCTGGCTCGTAACTTTTCCATAACTTGTGATCTAACGCAAGAGCCTCCCAGTCCTTCTGATACCGCTGAAAGAAAAGATGCCGTCAGTGCTTCGTAATGCCATGGTGGAAACCAGCCATGACCTCGCTTGTCCGAAAGTCTCTGCAAATTCACACAGCCCTCCAGATGACAATTCCATTTGAACGCTTGACATAACATCAGCTCTTGGGAAATGTCCATGAGCCGGCCGGCGTGTCCAAAATATCGGTGCACACGCCGGGCAGCGACCGCGTCCAAACCAGAGCCGTTCTCAATCTTGATGTTCCCCTGAAGGCGCGTCTGTCGACGACAATAATGTTCGTCTGCTTCGCCACCATGCCGGGAAGACGGAGGTACCGCAGCATAGCTCCATTCCGAGCTGCTCGCAGTTTTTGAGCGGCCTGTAGGTCCACACTCCCGCTGACCACGTGGACGTGCACCAACACACCTGGTTGATGAGTCCACACTGCTGCTTGCGAGTAGATGCTCTGAAAGACAAAACACTCGCCGACTGAGCGACGGCGCTCCGTGCGAAAAATGATTGGACTCGTATGTTCCCTGAGGTGCGCCCATTGGCGTTGATGTTACTGCCAACGTATCGCATGACAGCGCCATGACCCTCGTATGTCGTTCCTGGTCGCGAATGCTCAGAATCGCATTGGTTCTGGCTTACCAAACGTACCGTGCTTGCTGGGAGATCGAGTCCGTGGTCGCGCAAAGCGGTATCAAGTAAGTCGAAGGTCTGGCGCGCTTCGCGAATGCAATGAGCGGTAATGAACATGTGATCCGAGAGCACGATGAACGGCACAACCTTGAAATGGCAAGTCCGGCAATATTTAGCACCATGCGTTGCACGCGGGTGGTTGTGCGTAAAACTACCCCCTGTTGCAAACGCTGGCATGTATCCCAAACGCGTGACAACCAATATTACACTACAATTGTTCGGAATTTGGGCCCAAACTTGCTACCCTGAGGCAGCGATATCTTGATTGGGGATGTCCAATCTTGGCGTCCATGCAGCCGCACTCACTGAGATGCTTGCCGAAGATGATGATCATGTTGATGATGCTGCCGATGATGCTGATGCTGCTGATGAGGATGATGTTACTGCTGTTGATGATAAAGGTGACGATTATGGCGATGCTGATGCTGTTGATGATGATGATAATGATGATGGTAATGATGCTGTTGGTAAGGATGATGGTGATGCTGATGATGGTGATGATGAAGATGACGACGATGGTGGTGATGATGATGATGATGATGCAGATGATGATGACGGTGAAAATGATGATGCTGCTGATGATCATGGTGGTGATGATGATGATGATGGTGATGATGATGATGATGATGATGATGATGATGATGATGATGATGGGGATGGTGGTGATAATGATAATGAAGACGATGCTTGTGATGATGACCCACTGCATCCAAGACGGTCTGGAGCCCTAGCTCGAAAGCCACTCGAGCCCGAACGCTTCCCTCCACGCCTCGCCCGCAGCGTCATTGCCGTGAACAACCGGCAACTGCGAGGAACTGCGACTCTCAAGATTACCGCCGCTGCCACGCCAGCGGCGGCCAATCTAGGGGAACGATCAATTACAAAAACATATCAACTCGCAGGTCTGCGCGGATTTCTCGGATCGGCGCTGGAGCCCCCTGACGACGCCTCCGGCGCCGCCCCTGGCGCGCTCCGCGCGCCAGGGAGGGGGGGGTCCAAGAAATCCGCGCGGACCTCCAAGTTCTTATGTTTATGCCATTTGTCGCACCCCTAAAATAGCCGACGCGTGACAGAGGCGTCTCGCTCGAGCTGAGCAGAAGGCTGCCACGGCTGAAGGTAGCCAGAAGGACAGAACTCCCAACTCGGGAGAGCATTGCACCTCCCGCTGACGGGAGGCTGATCCTGAGACGGCGGGCGCCTACACCCGTGGTTCCACTCCGACGACACGTAACAGGGCGCGCCACCTGCCGCAGAGATTGCCTTCAAATGGCGAGGCACCTCGCCAGCGACTGGACTGTCTGCGCACAAAGCAAGGTGCATTGAGAGCGGCACTGGTGCGCAACGCTGCCCAGCGCAGCTCTGTCCTTTTCCTCCCCCGCACTCGGGAGGTGGGCCCGAGATGGAGCGACACCATCTCGCACAGCCACTGCACGACTGACCTTGGTCCACGTGACATGCCTGCCGCAAATCCTTCTTCCGCACGGCTCGAGCTTACATTACGCCCTCCATCTCATCTCAAGTTGCACCCCCCACTCGAACATCGTACAACTGCCAAGCCCTCGCCGTCGGACCCGTCCTCCACCGTGAGCTCCACATTGCCGATCTGCATAGCTGTGCCAATCCATCTGAAAGCCTTCGCTACCAGCCTATCCTGACGAAGCACCTCATCTTGCGGATGCATGCTGGCTCCCTCGCGTCCCCTCCGATCTGCCGCGTTGTCCCTTTTTCCTCTGCCAGTCTGCACGTCTGCGACTGTGGCGCGCGCCTCGACATGTATGATCAGGATGCGTTCCTCGTCGATGTCGTTCACAACCAACCACAGCCGCACCCACAGCTCGCGGTACGGCCTTCTCCACGGCGTGCACCGTATCCTGCCCGCTGCGTGGCAGTCCACCAGCATCTGGCAGTCTGTGTAGATCCTGACTCGTGGTAGGCAGCTGATGAGGGTATCGATGCTGATGTTGATGCTGATGGTGATCGTACCAGTGGTGATTATGGTGATGCTGCTGATGGTAGTGGTGATGATGGATGTGATACTGGTGTCAATGCTGATGCTGATATTGATGTTGATGCTGACGCTGATGCTGCTGGTGATGATGCTGCTGATGCTGCTGATGCTGATGGTGGTGGCGATGATGGTGGTGGTGATAATGATGGTGCTTCTAATCATGCTGAACATGCTGGTCATGATGGCGATGACGACAATGAAGATGGCGATGTCGATGTCGATGACGATGTCGATGATGACGATGATGCTGATGCTGCTGGTGATGCTGGTTATGGTGGCAATGGTGATGGAGATCGTGATGGTGATGCTGCTGATGCTGAGAATGGTGTTGATGATGGAGATGATGATGCTGAGGCTGACGATGGTGATGATAATGATGCTGATGATGCTCATGATACTGATGATGCTGATCCTGATGGTGACGCTGATCATGGTGATGCTGATGCTGATGATGATGTTGATGACGATGAGGAAGAGGATGGTGAGGATAAACGTGATGGTGGTGACGGTGGTGGTGAGGAGGAGGACAATTACTATGATGATGCTGATGCTGATGCTGATGTTGATGCTGATGCTGATGCGGCTGATGATGAGGAGGGGGAGGCGGAGGAGGAGGAGGAGGAGGAGGAGGAAGACTGAGGGACAAGGAGGAGGGGCCGGGGGATGATGAGGAAGAGGGGAGCAGGGGGCGGAATGCCAGGACAGTAAGGGGCAGGAAGGAGGCTGTTAGGGTTATTCTGGGAGGATGTTCTGAGGGGGCCTGGGAGCTGGCACGTTTCAAGCAGCCGCAGGAAACCACACAACATGTATAGTGCTTCTTGGACTTTACTGGGTCGAAGAGCCTGGCCAGGGGCCCAGAATTACATGACACAAATACGGCGAGGATCCTCAAACTTAGGAACACGGAGGAAACCGCAGAGATCCCCTCGCAACGACGTCTGGTGGGTGCCGCCCAGGGATCACCATTTCCGTCTTCGCGGTAGCGTGGTCGAACAGCTTAGCTGGACCGAGGAAGAGGAGAAGGAGGATGAGGAGCAGCAGCAGCAACAACATGTCCCTGAGGGCTTCGGGACTTTGGTCCCAGTGGGTACGGACCCTCCAACATGGTCAGATCAGCCTGCCCTTTTTGGGGCGGCGACGGCGATCGCCAATCTACCACCACCACGACGGCTACCCCGAAGAAGACCATCACGACAGGGGGGCGACCTAGGCGCGCCGCTTTGCGCGGGCACGTCGCTGTTGATCACGTCGCTCGCCTTCCTGACCTGGGGATCCTCAGTGACGGCGTCTGTGGCCGTCACCTGCGGTGGAGCCCCTCCAGCAACACGAGATGCATCCTCGCCCTCGTCAATTCGAAATCGCGCGGCTTTGACCATCACGGAGGCTCCTCAGGTGAGAAAAAGGTACCGTGACCCCTAACCATATCGAAACAAGATGATGAGATGAGATCCCCTCAGGGGGGAAGCCGTGCCCAATCCTGGATCAAATCCATAATTTCAGGCTCGTTTGGGCCCCCCTCGCGTTTTCAAGACGAAACGGCATAGCCCTGTCCACCTCCGCTCATCCGTGCCCCCCCTCTTCTCCACTTTCCTTCTTCCTCATTATCCGACTCCTCCTCCTCATCCTCCACCTCCTAGGTACCTCGTTTTTATGTGTGTGTGTGTGTGTCTCTCTCTCTCTCTCTCTCTATATATATATGCATCCTCCCTCCTCCTCCTCATCCCCATCCTTCTCCTCCTTCTCCTCCTCCTCCGCTGCCTCCTCCTCTTCCCCCTCCTCCCAATTAGCGAAAACCACAGGGGAACACACACACAACAAGCAGAAACAACCATCTTGAGGCCTCCCCCCGCAACCCAGAAATGCCCCCCCGGAAGTGGAAAGTGTGTGTGTTCGTGTGCTGTTTGGTGTGCCTGTTCCTGGGGTGGTGCTTGATTCTGCTCCGTGAGAGATCATGCTTGGCGGGAGGGGGAGGTGGTGGATGATGGTGATGAGGAGGAGGGGGAGGAGGAGCAGGAGCAGGAGGAGGAGCAGGCGGAGGAGGAGGAGGAAGAGGAGGGGGAGGGGAAGGGGGAGGAGGAGCGGCAACAGCAGCAAGAGGAGGAAAAGGAGACGGAGGAGGAGGACGGGGAGGAGGACCGGGGAGGACCAGGAGCACTGCTCATATCACTCTTCCTCTTCCTCCTCCTCCTCCTCCTCAACCTCCTTCTACCACTCCTCCTGTCCCTCCTTACTTAACATACTCGACCACCCTCCCCCTGTTCCCCTAATGTGAGGGGGAGAAGGGGGACGACGAGGAGGGCGAAGAGGAGTATTGATATAAAGAGACAGAGAAGGAGAAGGAGCAGGAGGAGTGATAGGATTGGCAGCGGGTGATGGTTAGCAAGCTGAGGAAGAGGATGCTGAGGAGCCACTCATCCTCATCGTCCTCCTGCTCCTATCACCCCTCCTCCTGCGCTTCATTCTTGTACACATCATCCTCATCCTCTTCGTATCTCTCCCAGGGGGGAGGAGAGGAGAAGGGACAGTGCCAGACGGAGGCAAATGAGGGATATGATGAGGACCAGCAGCAGGAGGAGCAGGAGGAAGAGGAGGCCGACTCACTCTTCCACCTCCTCCTCACCCTTTTCATGTCTCACTATCCTCCTCCCCTTCACCCTGTGCATCACTCTTGCATGCATGTTGATCCTCCCCTTCCGCTGGGATGGGGAGGAGGAGCGTGTGTGGAGATTGGATAATGACTTTGGAGGGGGCATGGTATAATGATGAAGAGGATGAGGAGGAGGAGAAGGTCGAGGACGAACAGGAGGAGGAGGTTGAGCAGTCACTCCTCCTCCTCCGCCTCCTCCTCCTCCTCCTCATTCCCTCCTCCTCCTCACCCTCATTCCTCTGCTCCCACCAACTCTCCGCATCCTCATCACTCCCCTTCTCGCTCGTCCTCCCTCTGCCAGTCATGCTCATCGTATGGTATCGCATGGGAAGGGGCGGAGGAGAGGGATGCTGCTGCTGCTGATGCTGTGGATGCTGATGCTGATGCTGATGCCGATGCTGATGCTGCAGATGGTGGTGCTGCTGCTGATGATGCTGATGCTGATGATGATGCTGGTGATGATGATGATGATGATGGGGATGCTGGTGATGCTGATGATGCTGAGGAGGTTGATGATGATGGTGATGTTGATGATACGACTGATGATGACACTGATGATGATGATGCTGATGATGATGATGATGAGGAGGATGGGGTTGACGATGTTGATGTTGCTGGTGATGCTGATGCTGTTGATGATGCGGATGATGAGGATAAGGATGCTGATGATGATGATGACGATGACGATGCTGATGACGTGGTGATAATCAGCATCATCATGCTGATGGTGATGGCGATGCCGATGAAACTAATGCTGAGGATGATGAAGAGAAGGACAAGGAGAAGTAATAGAGGGCTGATGGCATGGAGGATGATAATGATGAGCATGAACAAGGGGCGGATGCATTTCGAGGTCACTCCTCCTCCTCCTCCTCCTCCTCCTCCGCCTCCTCGTCCTCCTCCTCTTCCTCCTCCTCCTCCTCGTCCTCCTCCTCCTCCTCCTCCTCCTCCTCCTCCTCTTATGTACGCGACAGCGTCACAATCCGCGTACCCGCGGCCTCCTCCTCCCATAGGAAGGATCAGGGGAGGACGGGCAGGAGTGATAGAAGGAAGGTGAGGAGGAGGAGGAGGAGGAGAACAAGTATGATTGATGGGAGCACAGGATGGGGATACGTGACTCCTCGACCTACTCATCATCATCGTCGTCCTCCTGCTCCGCGTGCTCCTCCTCATATCACTGTCTCAGTGTCCCTCCTCCTCCTCCCATATGAGCGAGAGGGGGGAAGAAGTAATAGGGTGATGGCGAGGAGGAAACTGATGATGAGGAGGCTGAGGAGTTATGGGAGCAGGAGGAAGAGGAGCAGCATGAGGTGAATGAGGCGGAGGAGGAGGAGCAGGTGGGGTTACCCTTCATAGTTATTATCCTGCTGCTCCTCCGCCTTGTCCTCCTCTTACCACTCTCCCTCATCTTCCTCCTCAACTTTCTCCTCCTCCTCCGCCTGATCCTCATCCTCATCCGTATCCTCCCCCGCCTCCTCTTCACATGGGAGATGTAGAAGGAGAGGGAAGACATAATGATGAGGAGGAAGAAGTGTTACACAAGTGCGTATACACATACCGATAGGACAACCCTACGGGGGATAAGGATGTTGGGGGGGAGGGGGAGGCGGTCGATTTGCGATGGCTCTGGGTTCTTGTGGTTTCTTTAAGTTTATCTCGCACATCTGCCCATCCATCTGTCGACCAATCTGTCTAATTATCTATTTCGTATGTATCACAGAGTCTAGCTTCCCATTACCCACCAACACTGCCTTGGTTTATCTACTCTACCGTGGCAACCTTGAGGGCAACCATCGGGACAACCATCGGGACAACCATCGGGACAACTATCGGGGCAACCATCGGGACAACCATCAGGACAACCATCGGGACAACCATCGGGACAACCATTGTCACAACTGCCGGGGACAACCATCGGGACAACCATAAAGACAACCCTTGGGACAACCGTGGGGACAGCCATCGGGACAACCATCGGGACAACCATCGGGGCAATCATCGGGACAACCATCGGGACAACCATCGGGGCAACCATTGGGACAAACATCGGAACAACCATCGGGACAACCATCGGGACAACCCTCGGGACAACCATCGGGGCAACCATAAGGACAACCATCAGGACAACCATCGGGACAACCCTCGGGGCAACCATTTGGGGCAACCATAAGGGCAACCATCAGGACAACCACCGGGACAACCATCGGGACAACCATGGGGACAACCATCGGGGCAACCATCGGGACAACCATCGGGACAACCATCGGGACAACCCTCGGGACAACCATCGGGGCAACCATAAGGACAACCATCGGGACAACCATCAGGACAACCATCGGGACAACCATCGGGACTACCATGGGGACAACCATCGGGGCAACCATCGGGACAACCATCGGGACAACCATCAGGACAACCATAAGGACAACCATCGGGACAACCATCGGGGCAACCATCGGGACAACCATGGGGACAACCATCGGGGCAACCATCGGGGCAACCATAAGGACAACCATCGGGACAACCATCGGGACAACCATCGGGACAACCATCAAGACAACCATCAGGACAACCATCAGGAAAACCATCCGGACAAACATCGGGACAACCATCGGGACAACCATGGGGACAACCATCGGGGCAACCATCGGGGCAACCATAAGGACAACAATCGGGACAACCATCGGGACAACCATCGGGACAACCATTGGGGCAACCATTGGGACAACCATCGGGACAACCATCGGGACAAACATCGGGACAACCATCGGGACTCCCATGGGGACAACCATCGGGGCAACCATCGGGGCAACCATAAGGACAACCATCGGGACAACCATCGGGACAACCATCGGGGCAACCATTGGGGCGACCATTGGGACAACCATCGGGACAACCATCGGGACAACCCTCGGGACAACCATCGGGGCAACCATAAGGACAACCATCGGGACAACCCGCGGGACAACCATCGGGGGCCAGGCCTGGCGTGGAGTGGGGCGGGGTTTGCGGGCGACCATTTGGGCTGGCGTGTACATCTGCAGGAACTCGCGCAGCCTCGCCTCGCCCGCACGCACGTCACGAACCGAAACCGAAACCGATTTCCCGGTTGGGGCCACTTCCGTTCAAACCCCCCAAATTCCGACATATATATATATACATACATATATGTGTAGATGAAAATGTATAAATCAGAGCGAGGGGGAGCACGTTCATTCACTGTCCCTGGGCGCGTGACTGAAGTGAGGTTCGGCAGTGCAGACTGTTGTTGTTGCTGCTGCTGTTGGTGTTGATGCTGCTGCTGCTGCTGGTGTTGTTGTTGTTGGTGTTGCTGCTGTTGTTAATGTTGCTGTTGTTGTTTGTTATTGTGTTGTCAGTTGTTTGTTGTCGTCGCCCCCCCCGCAACTGCGGGGTTCTACGCATGTGCAGGCAAGAGAGAGAGAGAGAGAACTACATATAGCTAGAGAGAGAGATAGAGAGAGAGAGAGAGAACAAACAAAAAGTAGAGAAACCGAGGGAGAGAGAGAGAGAGAGAGAGAAAAAGAGAAAGGGAAAAACATAATGCTGGTCACGAACATGCGGGTTCGGCCTCAAACCTCTTGTCGTACGCGCCGTGGTGCCTCCTGCATTGACATCGTTTTCCGAACAAAAAACGGAGACAAGCCCCAATCATATTTCTTAGGGCTATAGGGCTATAGGGGCTATAGGGCTATAGGGTTATAGGGCTATAAGGCTATGGGGCTATAGGGCTATAGGGCTTTCGGGCTACAGGGTATATGGCTATAAGGCTATAGGGATATAGGGCTATAGGGCTACGTGGCTAGTGGGCTATAGGGCTGTAGGTTTTTAGGGCTATAAGGCTATTGGGCTAGTAGGGCTATAGGGCTGTAGTGCTGTAGGGCTATAGGGCTGTAGGGCTATAGGGCTATAGGGCTATAGAGCTATGAAGATATAGGGCTATAGGGCTACAGGGCTACCGGGCACCCGAGCACCCAGCGCGGCCAACGAAATCGGCGACGTAGGTCACCTACCCATATGAGTCCGCTAGGACCCCAACGGAGGCAAGCTCTGATTAAGGAAAAACTCAATGGGGTCAAACGAGCTTCTAACCTGGGGAAAACAAAAGGCACCGATACCGCTACTCCCCGGACCTCTCCCGGGGGTGCGTTCTGACCCGAATTTCGAAGCGAATCCAGCGGTGGCGACGAGGGCCTCCCAGGAGGCCCAAGGGGAAAACGGGCGAAGGATAGAGGTATGGGTACCCTATCCTCCTCTAACCAATCCCATCGTAGTGGCGGCGCGCACACGGGGTCGGAACACACAGGGGGGGGGGGGGGGGGCGGCGCTCTAAGGAGGCATCCCCCGCCTCGTAAAAAGAGCCCTCCTGCCTTCCAGCAAGCATTCCCGCCAGCTTCTGAGAGGCGATGCGCGCCCTTATAGTAATCACTACACCTGAGCATGTTCTTAGGGTGGAAGACTCAGGGTGAAATCCATATGGGCTCCCGGATAATAATCACTACACTTAGGTCGGGCTCCCATATAATAATCACTAAGGTTGGGCTCCCTTCTGAGAGGAGATGGGCTGCCTTGTAAGAAACACTACACTTAGGTCGGGCGTGTCCTCCTACAGGGGGTTTTGGACGAAACAATAAAAATATTCAAAACACATTCCCAAAATTGTCGAACATAGTCAACAATCGTCCCCTGACTATTTTTTACTATGTTTGAGTATTTCTCCTGTAGAGGGACATACCCGACTTACTCCTGAGAGGAGATGGGCTCCCTTTATAAAAACTACTACACCGACTTTGCAGACGTACTGCAGCGAATTTGTTGCGTGGATTTCTTCCAATGCAGAACTCCGAGACGGCGAGTCAAAAAAACGAAATGGATTTCACGTGGATTGTTTGTGGTCTTCATTCCTGGCGAAAACAATCCGCGCGAAATGCACTTCGAAATCCGGAGCGAAATTATCCAGGACAGTCCGGGCCCATCCCAGTGTTTTCCGAACGCAATTCGCTCTGCGATGTTGGCGCCATGAGAATAAATGAGCCCCTGCCTTCTTAGAAGGCGGGCCCTTGCACCACCCCCGACCCAATTCCGCTCAAGACTGGCCCCGAGAGACCACTCCTGGGATCCACACCGGCCAGTTTTTCGAGCTGCGTCCAGCAGTGGCGACAGTAGAGGCCTCTTAGATGGGGTCAGAGTAGATGGGGTCGGAGGATCGCGCCGCATCGCCGATACATCGGCGATGCATCGGCGATGCATCGGTGATGCACCAGGGATGTATCGTCGACGTCGGCGATGCATCGGCGGCGTCGACGTGAAGCAAATCGGGCCCAACATCGAGCCGCATCGGCGATGCATTGCATCGGCGATGCGGCGCAATCCTCCGCCCCCATCTACCCCGACCCCATCAAGGAGGCCTAGAGACAGGGAGCCCCCGAGAGGTCCCCCGAAAAAGCAGGGCGAGGACGCCACCAGGAGGAGGAGGTGGAGGAGGAGCCAACAGATCCTGCGGAGGAAGGGAGGAGGAGGAGGCGGAGGAGGAGGAGGAAGAGGAGGAGGAGGAGAGGGAGAAGGAGGAGGAGGAGGAGGGGGAGAAGGAGGACGAGGACAAGGACGAGGACGAGGACGAGGAGGAGGAGGAGGAGCAGCCAACAGATCCTGCGGAGGAAGCGGCTCGCTCGATGGCGCCCGCCAGGACCACGTCGGAGGTGCTCCGGGGCGGCCCGGTGGGCGGACACGGGGCCCCGCAGGCCGCCGCGAAGGAGAGCTCGTAAGCCTCCCCACTGGCGTGCGCATCCGACAGGGCCCGGTCCACGACGCTCAGCGTGACTGCCTCTCGGGTGAAGTTGCTCCCACCGTACTTGAGGGCGACATCCCAGAAATCACTCCGAGCGCCCAGAAAAAAATCGAAACGGCGCCGAGCGAGTATCGCCTCCCAGGGCCCGACACGTGGAAACCCACAAGTTTCGGTAATTTTTCTGGTGCTCGAAATTCTTTCTGGTGGTCAAGGCTTAAGTAGGTTGGGACCTCATAGCTCTCGGGTGCGGACAAGGCCTGGCATCCCCAGACCGCTGGTAATGCGAAGAACTCACGCCGGACATTCTTCGCCAGTCTCGTCCTCTGTGGGTCGTTTCCAGTCCCTGGGGCCGTCAAAAACGACTCAAGATGAAGAAACAGTCACGGAGAAGGCACCATGGCGGCTATCAAACCAGATACCAGCATACCCGTAGCGTGTTGAAAAATAGCGGCAACCACACCAACCATGCCGAATCCTACTGGACGTGGGCACCGTACCGTACCAGCCATGGCTACCATGCCGCACCAGTTGCCGTGGGACGCCAGGAATCGCAACCGAACTCCTCACCTCTCGGCGCCTTCCGGCGACTCGAAAAAGTCGAGTCGTCGGATGCCTGGGTCTGGACTTCATACAAAAAGCACGGCATTCATTCATTCTCTCTCTCTCTCCCTCTCGTTTTGGGCCCCCACGTCCTAACTGGTGGACCGGTCTAACCCGAAACGCGGCGCGTGAAGATATGGCCGAGGTCACTCCTGCGATACTCTTCACGCCGTGGTGCTTTCCACGCGACGTCGGAAGTCACGGGAAGTGGTCCACGCCCAAGCCCGAGCTGTGCCCAGCTCCCGGCCCATCTGGAGCCTCCAGGCCCCCCCCGTGGGCACTCCTCCGGGGGCAGCGGAGGGCCACCAGGGCCTCCTCGCTGGAAGCCCTGGGGCAAACCGGTGCCATGACCGCTGCTGCCAGCGCGCGCGCCTCGTACCCGAACGCGTCCCTGACGGTGGCCTCCACGACCTGCTCGATGCCATCGATGCTGCCGCGGCCGCCGCCCAGCTGGATCGTCAGGCGGCCCCTCTGCACGTGCCGCTCGCTCTCGGCCTCGCCTGCCGCACCCGGCGCCCCGCCGTGGCTCCGCTTCTTGTCGAGGAACCGCGCGCCGGCACCGCGCTCGGCCGCCTGGCCCCTCTCGGAGCGGAGAGGGGGCAGAGGAAGAGCAAGAGCGAGAGGGAGAGCAAGAGTTACAGGACGAGGTGCCCCGAAAAAGAAAGAGAAAGAGGGGAAAGAGAGAGAGAGAATGGGGGGGAGAGCTGGAGGAAGAGGCAGGGAGACGGGAGAATGCTCCTCCTCACATCTGTGGTGAGGGTGGCGTCGAGCTCCCGGCTCCCCGTGAGGCTAAAGTGGAAGCTTCGGCAGGAGCGAGCGAGAGGACAAGGGCGCTGGCAGCAGGCGACAACGAGAGGCCAGCGAGGCAATGCAAGGCTCGGAGCGAGAAAGAAGGTTGAGAGGTCGAGTGGCCGAGCCCTCCGGGGGGATACTCCTGCTCTACCCCCCACGCCCTGCTTGCACCCGGGGGCGGGGGCTCTTCACTGGATCCTGGACTGTGGCGAGCTGGCCCCGTCTACCGGGATCTTCGAAAGTGCGCGGCGTTGCGATCCCCTCTCCGATTCCCTGGGTTGACCGTGTGTTGCGCGGCGGTGCGCGGCGTTACGGCAACCGATCCCCCCCCCATAGATTCCCTTGAATCGACCCCGTGTGGCGCGAATTGTGGCGGTGCGGTGCCCGGCATTACGGTCCCGTCTTCGTGTCCCGCGCGATAGGGCCCCACACGATAGGGCCCTACGCGATAGGGATCTGCACGATAGGGCCCCACGCGAGACAGGGACCCACGCGAGAGGGGGACCCCTGGATAGGATCCCACACGCTATAATCCCACACGGCAGGGTCCCACCCAACGAGTGGGTCACGAGATATAATCCCGCACGATGTGTGTCCAGCAGGGCAGGCTCCCACACGACAGGACCACGCATGGTAGTCTTGCGGATGACGGCTCTCCAAGCGCAACAGGGCCCCGCACGATCGACCCACGTGATACGGCCTCCCCGATGCGGTCCCCCACGACAGGACCCCACTGCAGGGCCCCCCACGAAGCGGTCCCGCGTGATAGGGCCCTGCACACACACACACACACACACACACACACACACACACACACACACACACACACACACACACACACACACACACACACACACACACACACACACAACACAGCACGCTGCGGGGTCCAGCACGATGGCGTCCCGCATGCGATAGGGTCACGTACGGGAATGGCCCCACAAGATGGGCTCGCGCAAGATAGGATCCCACACGATAGGATCCCACACGGCAAATTATCACACGATAGCCCCCACCCCCCGCGATATGGTTTCACACGGCAAGGCCCCCACCACGATAGGGTCCCACACGGTGGTATCCCACACGGTAGGGGTCCACGGAACAGGGGCCCGCACGAAAGGGGCCCCCCCAACGATAGGGTCCAACACGATAGGGCCCTCAACGAAATGGTCCGCCACGACAAGACCCCACACGATAGTCTCCCGCACGATACGGTTCCACACGAAAACTCTCGCACACGATAGGGCCTAACACGATAAAGCCTCGCACGAGAAAGGTCACACAAGGTAGGGTCACAGACGCTATAGCCTCCCCGATGATAGGGTCCCGCACAATACGATCCCGGACGATAGGCTCTCACACGAGAACCCCCACGATAGGGACAGGGTCCAACGCGATAAGGTCCCACAAGATAGAGTTCCACGCGAACACGGCCCGGACAATATGGCCCCCACGGCAATATCCCGCACGATACGTTACCCCACAATGCGATCTCAAACGATAGGGTCCCGTAGATCGCAGCCCACATACGGCACCCCTGAGATTTTGCACGCACTGGACCACTGCTGGGTGGTGGTGGTCGGGCAACTCCAGATAAACAGATTTGGGAAGGCGTCGAGAAGTTCACACGGGAGTGTAGTCCGTCCAGACTTTCGCGCTACGCAGGGGATTTGTCAGCAATGTTGCAAATTGGTCAGAACATCACAGCGTGCAATCGCCTGGGAGAAATACAAAAGGGGACACACGATTCTGGAAGCCAACATGATGAACGAACTGTTTGGGTTCGCACAGAACTGCCACTCCCCGACATGCCATGCCCTTCAGGTCGCGAGCCTCAGTGCCGTTGTGCTTGCTCTTTGCCTCAGTGTCTGCAGCAGGTATGTCGGTGCCCTCGGTGGCATTGCCTCTCGTCGTTGACTCGAAGTCTTCAGCATGCATGACATTGCCATCTTCGCATGTGTACCTGCCGAAGACCATCTTGCGCACCTTGGCAATCTCATCTGGGCTCATCTCGCTGGCCATCGGGGTGTAGTCGCTGGTCACGCGCTTGGACCCATCGCCCACCGCCAGGTAGCTGTCCCCGTGGCAGCGGGCCCTTCCGCGGAGCCGCAAGCATACGCGCGCTTGCGCCAGCTGCACTCCCCCCTCTCCCCTTTCGAGGGAGGGAGGGAAGACTCCTCCTCCTCCTCCTCCCTCCTCCTCCTCCTCCTCCTCCACCACCTCCTCCTCCTCCTCCAAGGAGGAGGAGGAGGAGGCCAGGAGGGGGATGGCAGGAAGAGGGAGAAAGCAAGACAGCAGGGCCAGGAGCGAGTCCCGCCCAAGACCTCTGCCACCGCAGGACCAAGACATCCAGCGGGCTGACGCCTCGCACGAAACGGTTCCACGGCTCCTCGCCGTGGTCTGCAGACTCGCCTGGGTACAAAACCAGGACGCTCCCCTTGGGAGTCTCGTTGAAAAACCTATCCTCCTGTTCGGGTACTGTAAAGACGACCCAGTAAGGGAAAGCAATAATACGCCGCTGCACCAACGTGGCATTCCACCCGAAACCATCGGCGAAATTGGCAATCTGCCCGAGGCCCTTGTCCTTCACTATCTGGTGAGACGCCTGCAGGAAGCCAGAGAAATCAGCACCTTTGCCGATGCTTCCGTTGTAGTCGCCCATGGAGGACCAGTGAATGCCGGAGCAGCCCACGGACTGGAGGATATCTTATTTGACAGATGACAGGTATGTTGTCAACAACCTGCCAGTGTGGTTGGTCCATCGTACGAGTTATCAAGTGAGGGCCCCGGGAACGAGCAATCGAGTCATCCGTTGTGGGTCATCCGTCGGGGGGCCGATTGCGCGGCACTGGCTGGTGCTCACAGCTAGACAACACGCTGCAATTTGCCATCCTAATCTAATGGACGGCGCCTCGCGCAACCGCAGGAGGGCCGGGCAGCATAACTCAAGACCATATTTTTGTGTCGGGCCCGAAGTCGGGCGTGATGGCGGCACCACTTGTGCGTAAATACGACCTCCTTGCCTTGTTGACAACGGGATAGCACTCTCCCACGTCGCCATACGGCACTCCCCGGGACCTCTGTTACGAGCTTTGCGCAACCCAGCCTGGATCCGTCACACAAGTGCACGGAAGACATCGCAGCTACAGCTGAGGGAGACAGAAGCAAGCGAACCCTGAAGTATTGATTGTATTGCTGAGAGGCACGGGGTCTCGATGAGGGTGCCAAGACGTCGTGCTGGGGAGGAAACCTAGAGACCACGCTGCGCGGACCGTGGCCTCCTGTAGAGGAGCGCCCCGGGCTCACGACGAGCTGTTGGACCCCCCTGGGCAGGTGCCGAGACGGAAACGAAGAAATGTTAGATCTCGCCGTCCTTGGCCCAGTCAGCCCACGCCGGCGCAAACTTCCCGGCCCACTTGCCATCTGGGACGACAACGTCCATCAGCGCCTCGGCTCGGCCGCCGCTGAGACAGCCGCGGGTGCCCACAGAAAGGGCTGAGACCTGAAAGGTCCTCAAACGAAAGTCCGAGGCCCCACAAACGCTCAAGGCAGAGCCTAGATGTGGGCCCCCCCACCAGCCTCCAAATCGATCAAAATCCGCACACCTGGTGGCGGGCACTCTATCTTTCCCAGACCTCCAGCCGCTCAGCCGCCAGGCCCCTCCAGAACCCCTGCTACTGGCCAGGACATCACCTAACACAGCGGTCGGAACAGGGCTGTGCGAGAACGTGCCCCCCCACCTCGATGACGCCATCCACGGCGGATCCCTTCCTCGACGGCGTGAGCCACAGGTTCTGACACCGCGCGAACCGTTCCATCTCGAACGGCCTCCGCCCTCGGAAGCCTCCCTGGACGAGCGCACCCCACTACTCGCAAAGCAACTACACGCAAACGGCCGGGATCGGCCGCGGGGGATGTACGATACACTCCATAGAGGAAGACATGTGTTTCTGGGACGTTTGCGAGTAGGCACCTTGCGAGTAGTGGAACGCGCTCGGTGAACCCAGGGCTCGAGACCGCATCTCTTCTGTGGGCCCCGGGGCTCGAAGCACGGGCACCCACGGCGGTCTCCCGCCTTGTGAACGCCCTACCACCGAAGCGCTGCACGCCTGCCGTGTCCTTTCCGTTCTTCTGCTCCCCCACTCCCTCCCTCCCCCCCGCGACCCCCCTCCCTGCTGGTCTGTGCCGGGCGTGCCTGGCTCCCCCTGGCAAGCTCGGGTTCAGCACTGGGCACCCCTCCTCGCACTGAGGGGTTGGCGTGCGGGGTAAGAGTCACGCGGCCCCTGGCCCACGGGGTGTGAGCCATTCCCCCATCACGGCACGAGGACCGCCTCAATGCCCGATCCGACCGACCCCCCTGCCCCCCCCCTCGCTCGGGCGCGCCCCGCAGCGACGAAGCTTCTAGGGGCCGGCGCTTTCTCGCCCACGTTGAAGCGGCCCGCGACGACCACGCCGTCCTCCGCGTCGGGGGCGCGGATGGCTTCCGAGCAGTTCTGGGTCCCCGAATTTCGCGCTTGCCGCCTCGCGAAGGGCGACGCACGGTCATCTTCGCCCTCTCGTGCTTCCCCGCCGCCCCCCCCCCCCACACATCTGGAGGAAGGCAACTCTCTGACCCAGACCGCGAGAAGCGAAGCCCAGTCGTCTGCACAGTCCTGCGATTGACTCGCCGAGTGCTCCCGAACCGGTCCGGGCCAGCACGAGCGAGGGGACCAGTTGCACTCGAGGGTCTGGCGCTCGCCACAGCTACACGAGGAGGGAGAGGGAGTCGGTGAGCTGGCCGGCTGGCGGCGGACGGAGCTGCGGGGTGGACGCGGGACGGCTGCGAGGGCTGAAAGGTGGCCGTGACGGGGTGAGGAGGGGTGCCTATGTGCTGGTGTCGGGGGGAACGAAAGGGGTGATAGCAAAGGGTAGAGTAGAGAATCAGCTCACGTAGCTGACTTTCCCAGCGCCTCCCTGCGCCGAGAGGCGCCATTTTATCGAGGAATGGGCCCGGCAACGGGGCCGAAACCTGCTGCATGCAGCAGATTTCGTACCCCCCTCTCCCTATCCCCCCCTCTCGTTCGGCCCGATGGTGCGCTGCGTAGTAAAAGTGCATTTGTCGGGGGAGGGGGGGAGGGCACTGGTTGCCTGGTTGGCTCGGTCGCGAGGGTGAGGACAGAGGGAGAAGGAGGAGGAATGGAGGGGGAAAGACGAGGGAAGGAGAAAGAGGATTGAGGCACGGAAGGGAGGTGGAGGGAGGAATGGATGAAGGCAGGAAGGAACAAGAGGAAGAGGAGAGGCAGGCGAAGAAAGAAAGGGAAGAGGAGTCGGAGGCGACAGAAGGATAGGGATGACGAGGAAGGAAGCAGCACGAACGAGAAGTGGTAGGACAATTAAGGGGAATAGCGAGGAGGAAGGAAGAGGACAAATAAGTAACACAAGAGGAGAAAGCAAGGGAGAGAGGAGGGAGAGAAAGGGCGGGAGCAAGGAGGAGGAGGGGGAAAAGAAGCGGGGGAGGAATGAGCACAGAGGGAAGAAGGAACATTCTGAGGACCAGTAGGAGGAAAGTAGGAGGAAGACATTGAAGGAAGGAGGAAAAACGTCGAGGGACAAAAAAGAGGGAACGAGGACTGACCAAAGGGGGAAGGGGGAAGGGGGACGGGGGGGAATGAAGAGGCAGGAGCAGGCAGGAGGAAGAGTCCGACCCTTGCAAGTACTGCCAAACAGGGTCGAGACACGGCGAGGCTTGGATTGCCATCACAGTAAGCATGGCCCTACCGCAGTATGTCGCCATGGGAAGGCCGGAGTGACAAGAAGCCTATATGTCCCGCTGTGCTCACATCCAATGGCTTCCATCCGACCACACAGCATGTTAAACAACCTTGCTTTTGCGACGGGCGCCCCCTGACGCCGGTCGAGCCTGCTCAAGAATATGTCGCGGCGCCGAGACGATAATTCGAATGTGGAAACATGCTGCTGTACAGAAGCGCTTCTCAACTCAAGAAAATTAGCTGACAACGATTGGCACGCGGAAGTGCGACCCTAAGTGTCCTCCAACAGTGAAATTTGTTATCGCAACAAGCCCTTGTTCACAGCGGTCCTCCAACCGTGTAGGCGCTGGACTTTTTGAGTTACATGAACATGAGTTGCGAGGACGGCTCGCTCCAGAGCGACATTCTGAATGTGAGGCATCCTTCGCTTATATGCTTGGTGGGGGAGTCGAAGGTTAAGATGTTTAAAGCGGAACGATACATTGTGTATCGAGCGAGCACGAACTCGACAGCAAACCAACACAGGTTGACAGCTACGGATTGCAAAGCATATGTGGATGACTTGCAAATCAAAGCTCGGGCAATGGGTGCGAATCCGAGGAACCAACACGCGTACGTTTTGAACTGCTTCGGCATGGTGGCGCATGCGTTCATGTCAGAGTGCATTGTCGAAAACCATCCGCGCTCCATTATTGGAGCTGTTGAGAACGTTGAATGATATGCGATCAAGGCGACACGTTCAACCCGCCTAGGCGAGACGTCTGGTGATGAGGCAAGGAAGACGAGCAGCACAAGGCAACCCTAAACATTCGCCTGAAGGCAGGTGGAGCCTTGCCACGAACATGTAACTATGTGCTCTTGGCCTGTGAAAAGAGGGATGGAGAAGGAGGAGAAAAATAGAAAGACGCAGAAGCAAGGGAGAATGAGTAGAGGCCTCCTTGATGGGGTCAGAGTAGATGCGGTCGGAGGATCGAGCAGCATCGCCGATACATCGGCGATGCATCGGCGATGCACCGGCGATGCACTGGCGATGCATCGTCGACGTGGGCGATGCATCGGCGACGTCGACGTGTAGCACCTCGGGCTTCACATCGAGCCGCATCGCCGATGCATCGACGATGCATCGACGATGCATCGGCGATGCGGCGCGATCCTCCGACCCCATCCACTCCGACCTCATCTAGGAAGCCTACCACGAAGGGGGAGGCCGACCCCTCCAAGATCCTGCAGCGTCCAATCGCCAGGGTCCGTCGCCATGGCGTTGACGACGAGCCACGACCGGCCTCCCAAGTCCGCCGGCCTCCCTGGGCCCCCCGGGGGCGGCACAGGGCAGGCACGGAGCCTGACGGCCACTGGGCCCCAGACTGCCATGCTTGACAAATGGGTGGTGGTGGTGGGTTGAGGAGCGGATGGTGGTGATTGGTGGGTGGTTGGCGGTGCGGGTTGGTGGTAATCATCAGGGTGGTGGGTCAAGGCTGTTGTGGTGGTGATCACGATGGTGACAAAGATGGTGATGATGACGATGATGATGCTGATGCTGAAAATGATGATGATGATGATGATGATGATGATGATGATGATGATGATGATGATGATGGCGACGGCGATGGTGGTGGTGATTGTGAGAACTGTGGTAGACCTGGTGATCGGGGGAAGTCCCCCAGCGACAGCATGTCGGGCAGGTCATAGCAATAGAAATGCACTGAGCCCCAAGAGGTTCCCCCAGGCACCCGTGACGCTCCAAGAGGCCTCCAGGACCGCCAAGAGGCCTCCACTGGGGGACCCTTCCTCTGCGTGCTGCCCACTTCCGTGATCGAGGCAACTCCTCTGGGCATCGTTTCTGGATGGGCTGGTGGGGTTACGCGAAACGTCGTGTCACCCGGAGATGCTCACGCAGTATCTTCAAGTGGCCCAGAGACTCTCGGGGCCTTTTCGGAGCTTTCTTGGGGGGCTCCAAAAGGAGACGGCGTTGAAGGCTCAGGCACTTTGAGATCCGACGGAGAGACGGAGAGAGGATTTGCTGAAACTCTCTCGCACGACGACCGCCCAGCAATCGCACGGGCCAGAGAGGAAGCTGGGGGGGCATGGCAGATGGATGGCGGTTGCAGTGCTCTCGAGGTGTGCATTGATGAAACTGGTGTTCTACAATCCGCTGGCGGCGAATACCACTGACAGGCTGGAAGAAATCAACAATGCACTACGAGAATGGGATGTGATTGTGCTGACAGGGACACATCAGTGGGCTGGTCTAGAGCCGACGAAAAAGACGAATCATCATAGATATCATACGGCACTGCAGTTCGGGGCAAAGAAGGGAACATGAATGAACAAGTCATGTGGTACGACGTTTCTGGTATCCGACGAGATGATGAAAGACAAGGCCCTCCACACGCAGTACACACCGCCTGTCCAACTGCAAGGAAGAACGGCAAGGGTTAGGCTGCGTACGAAAGCATACGACGTCGCAATCTTCGCGATGTAATTACCGCCAACAATCGGATGCTCTCAAATTCATGTGAAGTGGGTGGAAGAGAAGTGTGACGGCACGGGTGGCAGATGTACTACCACAGTGGGAGGGGACATCAACAACCAATTGGAAATGCACAAGTCAAACAGCGGGGATCCGGTGGTAAGCAAGCACAGCTCGGGCAATCATGCATCAGCATTGGGGCCAGTTGGAAAGGAGGTGGAGAACAATAATGGGACAACTTTACGGGAGTTGTGTGTCCACAACTAATTCTCAGTTGTCGCGACTTTCATCGATTGTGGGCCAACGTACAACTGCGTGAAAGACGAGCAGATGAGGACGAGCAAGATGGACCACAGAGTGATACCGTCGGGGGCTCTACCCCATGTGCGGAGGTGCGCTGCGTTGAAAAGAGTGGCAAAACATGCAGAAGATAAAAACGAGAGGACACGGAGACCACATCCTTTTGGGCATGGATATTGGACTGGAACATAAATCTCGTTCTCGGACAAGAACCGACAGCAAAGAGCAGGCAAGGAAGTGGACCGCAACATGCTGATGGAGTGCCTGAGGAAAGGACGCCTGAGGGCGGAATTCTAGAGCGCGTTCGACCGCCGCCTGCAGGTCGCCCAGCCACTGCAGCCAGGAAGAGCATTAGCGAGGTTTTCCTGGAGTGTGACCTAGGCTGATCCTTTAGTACTCCGAGGAGATGCATTCGCAAAGTTATCTCGGAGTGCAACCTAGGAGGAACCTGCCGAGCTCCCAGGATGAGCATTAGCGAGGTTTTTCTAGGAGTGCAACCCAGGGGGGGCGAACGGCAGAAAAATAATGGAAAGAGCTCCAGGAGCGCCCCACGGCGGACCCGATGTGGAAGAAATGGAACGAGGCGGGCAGGAATGCCATGAAAGAAATATCCCCCATCAAGAACAGTAGGAGGACAAGGGGGTGGCCGCCTACCAGTTACTACGACATTCGCTACTTGCAGAAAGGATGAAGGTACGGGTGGACATGGTAGAGTCTGTCATGCAGGAGAGAGAAGAAGAGATCAATAAGGAGCTGGCGCAGATAGAAAATGTGCTACGCAGACACAGGACAGACGGTGGAAAAACAAGCAAAAAGATGCCGGCTGAGAAAATACGGAGGGCATGCGAGAATAACAACTTCAGCGAGATGCACAGGCTCAGGGTGGAATACCCGAATGGGAGACAACCAAAAAAGAGGTACTATTTCTCAGCGCGGACATGGTTGAGCACAGAGGAATGGCTCAAAGAAGTGGGCAAACACCCCCACGAGGGGGCGCTGGCAGCAGAACCGATGGACCTGGAAGAGTACGAGAAGGAGCATGACGAGATGTCAGAAGAGAACATGCCGCCCCCATTGGATATGGAGCTGAAAGCCCAAGTGGAGAGGGACAAACGAGACATGCTGAAGTACTGCAGGAAAGCGGCAAAGAGGAGGGTTTTCCCCCCAAGGGGAGTAACAGTGGAATTGACATGGGCGCCACAGTCAACCTGGAAGACCCCGAGCAGCTGAGCAAGAAGCTGGAGGAGCAGAAAGCACGGGCGGCGGAGTTGCGAGATGACGTGGGAGACTTGGACAAGCACAGCTCACTCTGCAAGTGCAGGGTGGGCAGGTTGATCTTGCAGAGAATGGGTTGGACATCAGGCAGGGCGCTGGACAGGACAGACAGAGATGACGACGGCGAAGCACTACGGGCGACAGAAACAAAAACGCATCACCTGGGGGGCTGCGAGAAAACTGGGCCGGGGTCGCCGGCGTTGGAGAAAGACGCGAGTGTGGAGTGCGGGAACAAGCTGGAGGACATTCTTATAAAGTGCCGCCAATCTCAAGCTACACCATTGGATTGGTACAGGTCCATTTCCTCCCTAGCAGGAAAAACAATCAAAAGACAGGGATTCGAGGAAAAAGAGTCATGCGCGCATAGTGCCAAAAGGGAATGACTTTTCACAAAGGCATCCATCACCGAGGAAAAGGCACCGAAACACCCATGCTGGGCACAGGGAAGGCATGGAAATAGATCGAGGGAGAACGCGATTACCAGCGTCTACGCTACGCAATGGAGAACACGGCAGGCAGGAGTGAGCACCATCGCCAGAAACTACGACTGCACACACGCCTTCGCGAGCACGAAACGCAACCTCCTGCTGACATCCGTCTTCGCCGCGTCGAAAGAGGAGGACCTACCATTCGCTGTCGAGGCGCTACACTACGCGTCAATGAGCATGGAACGCGCAGACGACTGGCTGCATGCAAAACCTACGCGGAGCGCGCTACCTTGTGCCCAAGGCAATCCAATGATACATGCAACCTCTACGTGGGACAATGGCACCAAGAGGAAAGGGAGATGGGGCAATCTGCAGACAGCACATGATACAGTGGAACCAACCAACGAACAAGAGCATGACCTCTCGCTCAACACGCTCATGGATGACATCACCTCGGCTACGACGGAGGGGCGGAAGATCGCTTGTGCAGAACAGCGTGCCACCGATCGCACTCTCAGCGGCCCTCGCCGATGGCCAGGCGAGACGACATGCACGGAGGGAGCAAGGAAGAGACACGGAGAGAAGGCGAGGGAGGAAGAGAAGAGAGGAGAGCGAGGGCCCTTCGTTGGCGGCGCCGCCCCGTGCAAGCCCAGGCCGTCTCTAAGCCAGCACTCGCACGCTGGACGAGTGTTGGGCTGGCATCAAACCAGACAGCCTAAATCACGCAACGAACATGTCACGAAATTCGGCGTGTGGAAGCTGCCGGTGAGGAGCAAATCGGCTCTGAGCTGCAACCTCGTCTGGGCGTGTTGCCGACAGACATGGTTGGGACAGCGTTCACATGCCATGCAACTGTCCAACGATTCGCTGTAGGTTCCGTCTGTGCGGAAGCCCCCCCAAGCAACCCAACACTCCCAAATCAGAGCCAAGCGAGAGATACACCAGCAGAACGGAAAATAAAACGCATGGGCCGGTATACATCACGTCCTACATGCAAGCCTATCGGATCTCTTCGAAGCAAAGCGAAAACGGCGTGAAAACTGTGAAGCCGCACTTTCCGACTACGGGCGAAAACGGAACTAGAACTGTTCAGCCGTACTTTCCGACTACTGGCGAAAACGGCGTTCAAACTGTTCAGCTGAAGTGGACTCGGCTTGAATCACATGGATCAACAGATAGCAAAGCTAGGGAGAGGAGAAGGAGAGGAGGAAGAGGCGGAGGACGGAGGAAGGAGGGGGAGGGGGGCGACAGCACGCTCAAGTCGAGCGCTGGGGCCTCCACAGCCGCGCAGCGACCAATTCCGACCTGCGGGACACGCAAGACGGCCATGCAATTCGGAGGGTGAGGGAGGAGGAGGAGGAGGAGGAGGAGGAGGAGAAGGAGGAGGAGGAGGAGGAGGAGGAGGAGGAGGACGAGGAGGAGGAGGAGGAGGAGGAGGAGGAGGAGGAGGGAGGGCGGGGAGGGGGATAGTTGAACAGCAGCCTGCGGCGAGGCTCGCTCAGCCGCCGTCGCTGCAGGCGCCCGCTGCGGCACGGGAGTCCTGCAGTTGCTGCAGGACCTTCGCGAACAGCCGGGCGACGTCGAAGCGGGCCCTGGCGGCGTGCCTCAGGATGGCGTGCGCCCTGTAGCCCACGGCGATCATCGTGGCTGCGCTGGCGACCTCTGCGGCGGGGACGCCCAGCTCCCAAAGGAAGGCTCGGGTGGTGCGGGCCTCCCGGCTGGCAGGGTCAGCCAGGCCCAGCTCGGCCGCTCCGAAGCGCCACAATACCGAACAGCAGACGTAGTGCTGGACGTCGTCTTCACCATGCCGGCACGCAACGGCCCCCG